TCTCCTACACACATTCCCTTCAAGCCCTGGTCCCAACCTTTGAGAGCCTCCAGGATGCCCAGGGTAAACCAAATAGGCTGACCATTGTTATGTTTGTGACTACAGTAGAAAGAAAACACATTAGAACTCCTCAGTAGCTTTATCATTATTTTTTTATTGCTGTGGTGTAACATTGCCACCCATGACTGATTAATTTTATTAGTTTGGAAATTAATGAAAATAGCACACATGCACATGTCAAACTCTATAGTAGTTCATTTCACTTCCCACCTTTCTTGATGCAAATTTCACATAGCTGACTTTGCTAGAGCTAGCAGAGGGAATAATAATACAAACTCTCAGCATTTACTGTATACAGGTATTACCCTAAATGCTTTGCTTCTTTTAAGTCTAACAATGATAATATGAGATAAGTACCATTATTACCCCATTGTACAGAGGGGTGTGCCAGTATCTGACCCAACTCCAAAGTTCAAAGTCTTAATCACAAAATGATGCTGTCCCAGGAAGACCACTAGGATGCAGAAAAGGGATAAAATAATGGAAAGTGGATGAGTTTGGGAAGGAGAATGAGAAGCTAAGAATTTACTGCCAATGCTCACGGGTCCATGCCCACATGCACAGTGGAGCCAGGAGTGCAGTGTCTTATATCCTGCCTACAACCTTTCCTGATGTATAGCCTGCTGACGGCTCTGATAGGTGCAAGAGGCTGCTCTTCAACCCTGAATCCCCACTCAGACCCTGGCCTAGTCCTCTCCCCAGGCGTTTATTGTGGGGCTATGCAAGGAAGTCTGGAGGAGTGGCCCCTCAAGGACTGGAGAAGAAGGAAATGGTCAAGATATCCTGGCTTATGAGTTGGAGAGAGGTCAGCCTAAGAAAACCAACCTGCTGAGCTACTGGAGGGGCTTGTGGGCTGAGTAGTGTCTGAGCCCCAGTTAGCTCCCTCTTAGTGCAATAAGGAAAGTGTCCCATTCAAGGATATCTTATAGTTGAGAAACGGAAGTCACTCTACTAGGCTTCACAGGTACCATGGTTACTAAATCTAGGTAAAGGCCATCACTTCTTTTCCTTAATTTCCCCCAGATCAAAGTAGCAAAATGGCAACCATAGAAAATAGGGGAAGGCTAGAAAAGAATAAAGAAAGAAGAAAGAATCTACCACCCAGCCCTGCCTACAGTTTTGGCACGTTTCTTGTCATGGTAAAGGACTTAGGCTATTTACCACATAGGCTACGGGTCTCGAAACAATGAACATGCTTTATAAACTGATCATTTGATGGTACTTCTTTATAATACTGAGAGTTAGAAGGTTTGGGCCATTTACATGGAGGCTGCATGACAATATTCCCCTCTTCAGGTACCAGAACTTTAGTAGCAAAGTGCTAAATAATGTCAAGTGGTTACCACCAGGGTCCACACAGGCTTTTGGTTCTGAGACCTGAAAGAAAGCAGGCTGGGTCTAAAAAAGGTCAGACTAAAAATAAAAAATGTAATTGGAAGTTTCAAATGCAAATCATAATATTGTTTACTGTCCACTGTGGCACCGGCCTTGTTGATAAAAAAGGTAGGGCTGTTGAGAATTCTATGGCATGCCCTCATCTTGGAACTTTTTGCAAAGGCTAACGGAGTTCAGAGAAGAGTGCCACTGACTTCAAAACCTCATGACAGACCAGATCGGAATGCCCAGTAAAGGCAGTTTCTCAGAAAACAAGGCCTAGGAAGGGCCACGAAGCTTCACTGCTTTAGTTCACAACATTCCCCCTACCTGGGATGTCCTCCCGTCCTCATTCTCCACCAAGAAACCTCCACCCATCTTTCAAGGCCCATCTCAATTATGATCTCTGGGAAGTCGTTCTCTTTCCCCATCTCTCAGAGCATGATTATGTCCAGAGTCCATTATGCTTTGTGAGCACTTTGAACATTCTGTACTTTACATCATGAGTTGTCTTCCTCCCTGCTGTAGACAGTGTTCTTCTAGAGGAGAAGAGCCCACTCTTAGTCGTCTTTGCATCCCCAGGGCCTGACTCATTAAGGATTTGATTGATGAATAGATGAATGAATGGATGAGGATGGAGAGAAGCCAGATTTTTAAATCTCCCTAGTGTCAAACAAAGGGCCTAACATAAAGAAATGTTCAGTAAATACTTTTGGAATGGAATTGGAGAATCAATGCCTAATTGGAAATCATTACACTTGTAAAAGTTTTCCATGTTGCAATTTCTTTCTTTATAAAACAGAAATAGTGATAGTGTAACCACGTGAAAATCCTTCACTGTAGGTATTGAATTAACCTTCCATAACCACACCCACACCCATCAATGAAGTCTTTGAATTTCTAGAAAGAAACAAATAATGAAACAAATCGTGGTCCTGTGCCTTGACCGAAGTGGCATCTATCAGAAAGTTAGGTCAATGGACTAGCATTAACATAACCTACAACAAGCAAATAAATGATTGTATATTCTGCTCATGAAGTTGCTATGAAAAGTTTAAGTAAATTTCACCTACACCAAAATAAAAATGGAATTGAGTTAGTTTCCCTCAGGAACAAAGTTTGAGAAATGAGAATTCCTTTAAGGCTTTTCTACTCATTGCCTAATTATACACCTAGATATTTCTACAGCATTTCAGAAATTCTAGTTCTAATTTTTATAATTAAAAAAATTACTGCTTTATCCTGACCACTTGTTTCCGATAAGACCTTCAAAGTCCTTGTTATATAAGATTGGCTTTAAACAATTTCCTTTCCCCAAACTAAGAAATTAGATATTACAGTTTTTTTCAAGAGAGATAAAGCTGGTACACGCCACTGTTCCTGCCCAAGAGCTGGCATATGTGGGTGGGTTCTTTACTATTTTACCTGCAGGGTATAATTACTCACGTGGAGTGAAATAAGGAGCCGTCCTTTTCTAAGTAGCCTTCATAGTGGACCAACATCAAATCCCCTCCTTTGGTCTTGCGATGGCAGATAAACGGCTTCTGGAGCACTTCAATCTTCACTTCTGGTTCAGGGATCAGAGCCCCACTCAAAGAAGTGACTAAAAGCGTCAGGACCGCGTTCCACAAGAAAAGCCTCATGTTACCAGGGCGGGAAACAAGTTGCTACAAAAACACAAAAAGGGCCCCCCGACCTCATAGAGTTAAGGATGTAGTTGAAGACTTAAAGACAACAGCCTCAGGCAAGTTCATGACTCCCCCTTCCTAGCAGACGTGGCACATTCACCACCGACAACTTTCCCACGCACTGCGAACTCATCTCTAAAGAGTTAAACCCAAACCCGGCCCTTGACTGGCTCTTACAACAGTGCCCCCTGGAAAGCGCGAGCTCCCGTTGGCTTGCGGTGCTGTCCCTCAGGAGCCTCTCAAGCCAATGACTCTACAACAATGTAATTTACCACCCGGCCGAGCAGGGCGGTAGCGCAGAGGCGAACCACCCGGTGAGGTCCTGGAGCCCGGAGGATTACAGAATTCCACAACCTCGGACTTTGAGAGAGGGGTGGAACGCGGAGCTAACCGGAAACTTCGACAGATTCACAGCTGTAAAGAACCCGGCCAGGGTGTGAAGTCCAAGGTCTCATGAAAGACTCGTTTACCCTCACAGTTGGTGAGAGGCCCCCCCAATAGTAATTGCTTATTATTTAACTTAGGATATGAACGATAAAGACTTTAACAGTGGTTTCGGTTTCACAAAGTGCTTTCCCGTTCTTCGTGAGCCTCTCTACACTGCCGGTAAGGCGGATTCTTTTATCCCATTAAAAGATAAGTATATTTTAGCTAGGAGAGGTTAAGCGTCCTGCTTAAGGTTGTTCAGCCCCAAAAGCAACTGAGCTCTGCCGTCAAACCATCTGATTCATTCTACAACGCCGCACAACATTATGGCTGCTAATAATTTTAGAGGACCTTAGTGTAGAGGGTCAATAATAGCCTCTATCAAGGATAAGGACGTGCAGACCTCCGCTTTCAAGAAGTAGTAATCACAGTTACGAGTTACACAGGCTCATCTTTCTTTTAAAATTTTAATTTTACATTTTTCGCATAATTTCAAAAGCAATACGTGTTCATTGTCGATTTGGAAGAAACTGGAAAGCACTAGAGTTTCCAGTTAAAATAAAGGAGCCGAATTAAATTTGAATTTCAGATAAACAACGAATTCATTGTTCTGTGTTTTTATTTGCTAAATCTGGTAACCTTACACTAAAGAAAAAGAAAGAAAGAAAAAAGATCTCCTGTAACGCCACCATCCAGAAATAATCATCTTAACATTTTGGTGCATGGTTTTGTGACATATGCCTAAAAACAATTAGGATCCTATTGTATACTGTGTTTCGTAACCTGCTTTTACCGCTGAAATCTGTAGTTAACATTTTCCCTAGTCAAATATCCTTAGCACAGTCCTTTCTCACACTTTCATATGCATAGGAATCCCCCGAGAGATCTTGTTAAAATGCAAAGTTCGATTCGGGAGGTCCTGGGCTTGTGGCGAGATCCTACAATTCCGAGAAGCTCCTAGGTGATGTCAGTGCTGCCTTGCGCGGACCACACTTCCTGTAGCGAGGTTTTACAGTTTAGACAACATCTGTTTACGCTCGCTGGCCACACACAGTATTCTATCGTGAAATTCCCATCATCTCTGTACGTCTTATTGTTGGGTACCTCAATAGTCTTTAAGTGCGTAGGTTTAATTAGCCTTGGAATAAGAATTGAATCCTGAAGACTAGAATCCAGGGGGCACCCTAAGGGGCCACGGTGGCTCCCAAACATCTGGAGATGGAACCCATCTACGGCACCATTGAGTCAGGACTGTGTTCCACCGTTGTCCCAGAGGCCTCCCTCCTCCCTTCTCACCCTGCCTTTAGTCCCAAGCCTGCCTCCCAGGACTCATTTTCCCCGCGGGCCTCCCTCACTGCATCAGCCATGGCGCCGGCGCCTCTAAACCCCGGGGTGGATTTTGGGAACAGACGCGCAAGCGGTGCACTGAGCATGCGCGAGCGGGCCCCGAGCTCCGTGGGTCGAGCACTCAGGTAGCGCGCCGTGGCGCCGCCAGCAACCAGCTCCTTCACTTGGGACACTTGGGTGGCTTCAGCCGCCCCTCGGACCCACCCAGTGCCTTGACCTCCTTGAGGACAGCGCGCCGAGCCCGCCGCGCCGGGCCGCCGGCCGGCTGCGTCCTCACGTGCGGAGGCCGCCGCAGTGACCCCGCCCCCGGGCCCGGGATGTGAGGCCCGCGGGGTGTCCTCGCACCGGGCCTAGGCGCCGGGAGTGGCCGGCTCGGCAGCGCCGGGCAATGGCCCTGCTGCCGCTGCTCCTCGCCTCCTGGGGCCTGGGGCAGTGAGGGGGCCGGCGGGCGAGGGCAAGGTGGCCGCGGGCGCCATGGAGGGGGTGCTGTACAAGTGGACCAACTATCTGAGCGGTGAGTGGGAGGCGTACCAGGGTTCTGGTCCTTTGTCTGAGCCGCGGCAGGGTGGCGTCGGGACGCGCCTTCAGGGGGTCGGGGTCACGGTCCCTCCTGAGACCAGAGAGGCCTGCGCCGACCGGGAATGTTTCCCCACAGCCGTTCTACGTCTCCCGTGCTATACAGACACAGCCCCCTGTAGGGGCTGGGTGAGGGCCGTAGCTTTCCTCACTTCGAGGAAAGCTAAGAAATCCTGAGATGTGGGGTGACTTGAAAGGCACGATGCCCTCGGTGGCAGCGGGAGGGAGGCGCTGATTCCCGCAGTGGGGTCCTCTGGGAGTCTCGAATTCTGGCGAAGGAGCTGGTCTCAGAAGGTTTCAAATAAATGCCGGCAGTAACCTGGAATCCCAGAGGTGAAAGGTCCTTTTTCAAACAAAGTCCCCAGAGCAAGCACTTTCCCTTTGTCACCTGCAGAGTCATCCGAGTGCAGACCAAGGTATCAGAGTTACGTCTCAGTTCCAAAGTATGCACAAGGTTTTTGGTTTTCTCACTGGGCATTTCTTTTTGTTTTACAGACTCAGAAATTACCATAAAATAGAATGCAAGCATTAGCAACTCTTTTCTTGCCCCGCTGAGCAGAATGGCTTAAAAATAGTACCCCACCCCCTTTCCAATTTGTGGAAGTACTTCATATTTTGAGAAGGTCATAACTATTTTTCAGCTGCGAATATGATTCAGGATGAGCATTTTCATAAATGAGTATATAAATAAAAGCCTTCTGTGTTCTGGGAACTGTGCTAGGCACTTTTTTGAAATTAAACTTTTTATTGTGGAAAATGAGGTGGGCACTTAAAATTTTAATAGCAATGTATTTGAAATGAGAAACATTCCCAGTGTCTCTTAGAGTGGCAGAGATGTATTTTCCCATCCTAGGGGACCATAGGACAGTTTTTTTTAAGGTTGTAGTGTGATCCTCTGGGGGTGTTTTAAGGACATTTGTGTCTGGGAGGAGCAGTTGGCATAGTGACTGATGAGGTTCTAGAGCACAGCCAGAAGTGCACCTGTTGGGTATACCCAGAATCTCTTCCCTATGCATAGTGTGGTTGCAAATGAGTTCTGTTTATTTTTCTTGTGATCATTAGTAGAAACTGAGTGAGGAGGGGTGTTTTAGAAGACTTGCCCTTTGCTTCAAGGACCTTCATTTGATGTCAAGAGATTGTATTAGATGTGGATACCTCATGGCTGGGCTCTGGTGAATGTCAGAGGCTAACATTCTCCTGCCCTAAAGGGAGGGTGCTTGATCAAGTAATTTGCTTTTGAGGTATCTCTAAGCTCTAAGATGTATAATCTTATGCCCTTGAATGAAATTTAGTCGCTGGTCTTGGTCTTTCCCCCCTTTCCATCACACACACCTTTTAACTTGTTTTCTTTCATCCTCAACACTCTTCCTTCTTTTGTTCCATCTCCCCCCCTCCCTTTTTTTTTTTTTTTTTTTTTTTTTTTTTTCTTCTTCTCCTCCTCCTTTATATAGAAGGTTTAGTCTCTTGGTACGATACCTACTTCCTGGTCATGAAATATCTTTTTTTCCCCCTCACTGTTTTTATGTATCCTTCAATAAAGCAAAATTTCTCTAGAAGGATCTTTTGGAATCTTTATCATGTGGTGCCTGTACCATCTGTTCTGTTGGAAAAGAGTCTACTTTTTTCTGCCCCAAGTAAGAGAAGTTAATTTTGTGAGTGATGCCATATTGGAAGCCCTGAAGAAAAGGGGCGCTGGAGCCATTGCCAGAGATGACTGTCCTTACATCATGCTGCTTGTTCCCATGGCCCACAAGCCACCTCTCTGTGGACAAACTGTTCATAGAAGCCCATCACACTGGGTATACTTAGAATTACGGTTCAGCACATTCTCTTTCCTTAGGAGACACATTTACTTTGGAAAGGAACGGTAATAGCCTAGGAGGAGCAAATGCATTTTTGTTTCTTGCACCCTTCTATGCAAGTTAGTCTCCCCAAAAGAGCACAGTGTGAGTGTTAATGACAAGCTTTGACGAAGACATCACTAATTTTCTTCTCCTGAAGCTTGTTTTTAAAAGTAACATTTTTTTTCTTATGGTTTTGCACATAGTAATTTAAAAATACATGTAATATCAGTCTAAGTTTTTGTTCATTTTGAATTTTTCTCCGAAGGGAGTACATGACCCGTTTGTGTAGTTTATTTCCGTCATGTCCACAGCTTGATATGGGATGCCTTATGTCCAAATTTGACTGGAGAGGTTAGGGAAACAGTTTATCAGCTGATCCTTTGAATCCTTGGTGGATGTTGTTAATTTCATTCACCAGCTACTGGTGTGCTGGGCTCTGTGCTAGGCACAGGGCAAAAACAAGACAAACACTGCTCCTGCCTTTCTTGAGCTTACAGTCTGGTGGGGGAGACAGACATTCATTGGATACATGGTTGGAAGCAAGTTCCAAGTGTGTGTGATTTGAGGGGAGAGGATGGGAGAGGCTAGTCTGTGTCGCTGGGTAAGGCTTCACTGAGGAAAAGATTTAAGCAGAGCCTGAAGGATAAACAGAAGCTGGGTAGGTGGTGAGGCCATAGCAGAAGTGCAGTTGGAGGCTATAAGGAAAAACTTTTTAGGCTCAGGGAATGTCAGTGTGAAGGCCCTAAAGCAGGAAAAAAACTGGTAAGTGTAAGGAAAGGAAAGAAGAGCCACATGGCTGGAGAGCTGAGAAGAGGCTCCAACAAGACTGCAGGGATGGAGGGCAGGCCTGAAATTGCAGGACCCCATAGGCTGGTTTAAACACTGTGGAGTGATTGTGCATGCACATGCATGTGTTTGTGTGTGTGTAAGAGAGAAATGGTGAGATTGTTTAAAAGCTCATTTTGGTTACATTTATTGTATTTTGCCAAATACTGTAGTTATTTTGTGAGCTTCTCTTGACTCTTGAGTTAAACTGTTAGGTATCAATTACTGAAAGTTGGAAACATCCATCAAGCCGTGAGAATAGCAGTATCTAAATTGCTTGCATGAGTGTACTGCTAAAATACAGAAAGAGAAAGGAAGAAAAGTCTCTTTTCCCTAATATATTAGGCAAACTCAGGTACCCTGTGCTCCATCAGAGGAAAAGGAAAAAGAAAAAGAGCTTCTGTGTATTTTCTTCAACATGCTGAGCCATCCTGCCTTTTGTGCAGTAGAACATTGGATATTCTGGGATTTAGTGTCCAGCCCTCTCTTCACATATTAGAAGATTAAGCCCGGAATGGAAAGTGGGTGGATTAAACATTTTACAAACACCTGCATTGTATGAGACATAACACTGGGCATTGTAAGTTTGTTATTTGTATCTTTCAAGCCCTAAAAGTTAGTCAAGGGATATTATACCTGCTTGGTTATACGTTAATGCTCTATAGTAGAACACTAGTTGAGTCAAAGAGTCCTAAAGTCTAGTGCCGGCTCTGTCACTGCCAGCTGCAGTCACTTTATCATTCTGAGCTTTAGTATCTTCCTCCATAAAAGTGATGAGATTTACCCATTAATAATTGTAAGAATAGTAAAAAAAAAAAAACCAAAAAAAAATACTTAACACTTCTAATGTTCTAGGCACTATTCTAAATATTTTACATGGATTAACTCATTTAATCTTTGCAGCAATTTTAGGAAGCAGTTGCCTTTATTATTCCCATTTTCCAGATGAAGACATTGAGGCACAGAAAGGTGGAGGAAGGAACTAGCCCAAGGTTACACAGTTAGTAAGTGGCTCCAGTGTCTGTTTTCCATTCATTACATAATACTTGTAAAGGTCCTTCCTGCTTGATCGTTATATAATTCTAGCTGATTCATAATGTGCCTATATTTAAAGTGTGTCGACCTAGAATAGCAGACTTTATTTGGGGGTGGGAGGTGGGGAGGAATTCAGGAGTACGGAGGACTTTGCCTGGTGTTGTGCATATGTTTTGTCACAATGAAATTTTCTGAGCTGTGCTCTGAGCTTTCTACTTTCAGTTTTAGGTCCCTTTCCTGCCCACTCAGCACACAGGGGGGCTTCTGCCATGAGCTCTAGCCGGTTGCAGGCTTCTTGGGCCCTTCCAGTGCAGTAAAACACAAGCACATTGCAGCACTGCATTCCAAAAATAACAAAAGCTTGCATCATGCTCACCAGATGGTTGTCTAAGGAGGTGCTATAATTTTGCTTACCCCCCCAGGTGGAAGAAGGTGATGCTTGTCCATATATGTTTGTACTGTGTAAACAGTGCCAAGAGGCCATCTGGAATGTGAGTGATTCAGAGCAAGATTCTCACGGTCTCACAACCACTAGTCAACCTTTTTTTTTTTTTTTTTAACATCTTTACTGAGATATGAATTAACCTCTCATGAATTTCACCCATTTAAATAAAATATACTAGTCAAGGGCTTCCCTGGTGGCACAGTGGTTGAGAGTCCGCCTGCCGATGCAAGGGACACGGGTTCGTGCCCCGGTCCGGGAAGATCCCACATGCTGCGGAGCGGCTGGGCACGTGAGCCATGGCCACTGAGCCTGCGCGTCCGGAGCCTGTGCTCCACAACGGGAGAGGCCACAACAGTGAGAGGCCCACGTACCGCAAAAAAAAAAACCACACAAAAAAAGTTAAAGTATACTAGTCAATGGTTTTTAATATATTTACAGTGTATAACCATCACCACAATCAATTTTAAAACATTTGCATTATCCTAAAAAGAAATACCCGTTATCAACCATTCCCCCCACCCCCTCTTGCCCTTGACAACCACTAATTTGTCTGTATAAATTTGCCTATTCCAGACATTTCATATAAATGGAATCATACATTATGTGGTCTTCTGTGACTGGCTTCTTTTACCTACTGTGATGTTTTTTTGGATTCATCAGTGTTGTAGCATGTATCAGTACTTCATTCCTTTTTATTAACAAATAATTTTCTATTGTATGTATATATCATTTTGATTGTTCATCAACTAATGAACATTTGGGTTGCTCCATTCTTTTGGTTATTATGAG